TCTTTCATCATTATTCGTCTTCAAACACATTTGTTTTGAAAACCATTGCAGAGTTGAGTGTTGAAAGACATCCTCTTTCACATCATTGTACAATTTAAGTGAACTTTTGCCATCCATTTTTTTAAAAGCAAATTTAGGTCTCCCAACACTTTAGAGGGGCTTTAAGAATAATAAACTTACAGCATTGGATGTCCATATTACATGTATGCCTACATGCATTTTGTTTAGCTAGCAATACACACTGGACACGACAGAATACATACCCTTTCGTAACTTGACACGAAAGTTAAGATGAGTAATCAAAGATTTCCTTCTCGCTTCATCTATCATTCCAATTATCTCCTGACATTTGTACCCGGTAGAGTCATGGTAGCCGTGACTGGTTCCTACCGCATTACATCTCTTGAAAACGTGTTATGGACTGCAGCTAATGGTCACCAGGTAAGTATGATAAGTATGATAAGGACGGTGATATTAAAAGTGCCGACTGTTTCCACCTCGTACAAGTTGGATAATAGAAGGAAGGTAGAGAGGATGGCCTGTAGTCAAGCACTCGTTGAACAGAAGGGGTGGAGAGAAAGGCTACGATAGGGTCATCGCCCCTCCAATCGACCAGATTGGTGACTCCAAATAACATATGAGGATTAAATTGGCTCAGTGGTCCAGACCATCTTTGCCGATGTTTGTAACCTGTCTGTGTGCGTGTGATGGCATTAGGGAGTTGGGATAATATTATTCCCTGTGTGTAAATCATGTCCCCGGGCCATTCTAAGCCCTAGGTACGCCCCTCGCCACATGACTGCCCATTACAGTACTCAGTAGCTCATAGTCATGCATTCACTGAAAGTCTGTCTAATATTTCATTGGAGAAGGTGCAGTTTAGAATGATCGCTTCAGTGTTTTTCATGCATGCGCTGATTGCAGTCATAGTCTATGGCGAAGACACATAAAAGCTCCTTGAATAGTTGCGGGGGGGGGGGGCTGTTCTTGCTTCAAATAGAGTACATTGTATTGTTTGAGAAATGTTGTGTATATACGAATATCCGTAATATCGCTGTTTGATTATATGCCTGAAACGTTATGCTCTGAGAAGTATGATGCAGTTTAGTATTTGCGTTGAAATGTAAAAATAATTTTCCTACCTCCATGATGCTCTACGAATATAGGACGAAAAAATCAATAAGATATGATTGAAGAAAAGTATGAGAAGAAAAACTGTAAAAATGTTTTTTGTTTAACCAGGGAAGCCTCATCAGTATCAAAGATGTTCTTCCTGTAGGCTCCGTAATTATCATTACCACAGCAATAAATTTCCAGGCACCTTTTTACACCTGGGTGGAGAGTGCCAAAAGCGGATCAATGTCTTTCCAATGGACGTCATTTACGTACTGAGATTCGAACCCTCGACCTTCGGTTTAAGAGTAAAAGTGATGGAACCACTATACCACGACACCTCATAATAATCCTGACATTGTTTTTGAAATTGGGTGCATTCGTATAAAAGAATCAATGAGCTCGCTCGCCCCTACTAGACGCCCCCCCCCCCCCCGCTCGATCGCTGAGCTCTATCGCGTATTGTCCACCTGCTACAACCTATTACCAGCTGGCTTTACATGACAATTAATGTATTTTATACTTTTACATGCAAGCCTCGTAATGACAGCTCAATTGCAACAACTCGTACATGGACCAGGGTATCGTTGTTTAATTGCATCTAAAATGACTAGCAGAGAAATCTCTTTGTGAAATCTGTATGTGTTCACCGCAATAGCTTGATTGTATGACGTTTCGTAGGTACCCCTGTTTTATTTGAACCGTCTATATTGTCTTCAGGTTTGCTATATGAATTTCCCCCTCCCTGTTCGCGTTTGAGAATTACCCAAACAATTGTAATCTTTTTAATGGTAATTTCCCAAATGTCTAAGATATTTAAAAAATTGTCTGAGGGCAAAATTATTGAAATTGGTTATCACGAGTATCATTTTATAAGTACTGAGATTAGAAGTAGTTTTTATTTCTAGTAGTTGAAATATTTTGCATAGTATATACTCCCTTTTAATTTGACGAGTTCGTGGCAACATACATGTAAGAAGTGAGGGCGGTCATAGTGGCTGAAACGTGAAGACTAGTTATGTTTAAGCTGCCCTGGGTATAGATTTTGTAATGGCATCTGGCTAATTTGGTGGAGCATAACTCTGTTTATGAAATACGAGGGGCGTGCTAGAGTTTGCCGTCTATCGTTAAAGCAAGAATACATCATCATTATGTTCTTTAAAGGAGGAGATGTGATGGCTCAGTGGTAGAGCCGTGGTCACGTAACCAGGAGGTCTTGGGTTCAAATTCAAGTTGATGCGCGAAGGCCCTTTGGTCAGACATTAATCCTCATTACCAAGTGCAAGTTCCTCGGAGGCGACTAAAAGCCGTCAGATCCCTGGTTGATTACTTACAAGCATACACATGCTTTCTTAGCAGAAAGGTTTTTTTTTTAACTTCACAAAAACAGGGAAGCATAAAAGAAATAGGAATTTGGACAAAGAACATGAAAGTTTAGAACTCTTGAATGTTGAAATTACTAACACTGATTGCCCATTCAGCATTGCGGTTGCAACTTATGCTGTCATCACAGACGAAGTTTCCCCATTTGATGAGCTGAGAACAAATTATGTATACAAAATACCTTCTATGAGACTCTGCCTCCATTATGGATAATATTTGTCATGGTCTTCCAAGAAATAATGAAATTGTTTTCCACCATATCTACCTTTAATCTCGAGGAATTTTTTTTTTTTTACTACTTTTGGTACAAGACGAATCGTTGTACCGTTCTCGACTCTTAATCCTTGTCTAAATTCAGTTCCCCCTCCCACTCCTGCGCTATAAGCGCGGAAGCTTTGAAATTTCATTTAATTATTAGAGAAACAAAACGATTCGTTGTACCGTTCTCGAAAATAATCCTTGTCTAAATTCAGTTCCCCCTACCCCTGCGCGAAGCGCGGAAGCTTTTACGTTTCATTAAATCATTAGAGAAACAAGACGATTCGTTGAACCGTTCTCGACTCTTAATCCTTGTCTAAATTTAGTTCCCCCACCTCTTGCGCGAAGCGCGGAAGCTTTAAATTTCATTTAATTATTAGAAAAACAAGACGATTCGTTGTACCGTTCTCGAAAATAATCTTTGTCTAAATTCAGTTCCCCAATCTCCTGCGCGAAGCGCGGAAGCTTTGAAACTATATTTAATTATTAGAGAAACAAGACGATTCGTTGTACCGTTCTCGAAAATAATCCTCGTCTGAATTCAGTTTATCCCCACCCCCCCTCCTCCTCCTCCCGCGCGAAGAGCGGAAGCTTTTATGTTTCATTAAATCATTAAAGAAAGAAGACGATTCGTATTACCATTCTCGACTCTTAATCCTTGTCTGAAATCAATACTCCCCCCCCCCCCTCCTGCGTGAAGAGCGGAAGATTTGACGTTTCATTAAATTATTAGAGAAAGAAGACGATTCGATGTACCGTTTTCGACTCTTCCTTCGTCCTCTTCCTTTTTTTTGGGGGGGGGGGTGGGCGCCCCCACCGGGGCGTAGCGTAGCTATGGGGGCTATGGCAACGCGCCCGCGGTCAGATGAACATTTTTTTTTATACCTTGTCCACCCCCGGAAACTCAGGGGTTTAAGGCAATAAATTACCGTCAAATAAGCATTCAGGGGCCCACCTTTGGGGCGCTGGTGGGGGTCGAGGGTGCGGAAACCCCGGAATCTCAGGGGTTTTAGGCATTCATTCTGATTACGGTTAGATGAACATATTTTTATACCTTATTTGTGACACTGGCAGACACTAATTGGCGTGAGGTCCAGCGGGCGGAGCCCCCAGAAGCTCAAGGGTTTTAGGCACTAAATTACGATCAGATGTGTATCAAGGGGCCTGCCTTAGGGTCCTTGGTTGGGTCCAGAGCCCCCGGAAGCTCAGGGGTTTTAGGCGTTTAATTACGGTCAGATGAGCATTTTATGATACCTTATTTTGTTGCGACACTGGCAGTTAACTATTCTTTCTTTTTTGCTCTCTTTCTTTCTATTTCTCTTTAATATACTTTTTCGAAAAAGGTGGGGGTGGGGAACACTTCACTTCCTCTTTCCCCCCCCCTTTTTTTTTTTCCTTCTTGTTTTCCCCTTATTTTGTCCCTTAGTCTTTGTCCCTTCGGGCCCCCTCCCCTGGATCCGCCACTGATCTCATCAGCCAACAGGTCGGCGCCGACACCATCAGGCAATACTTCCACCATTCACTCTTTCTGTCTATCTCCCTCTCCCTTTCTCTCTCTCTCTCTCTCTCTCTCTTCTCTTTCTCCTTCTCTCTCTCTCTCTCTCTCTCTCTCTCTCTCTCTCTCTCTCCCCTCTCCCTCTTTATCTCCCCAATGCTCTCCCTTTTCCCCTCTCTCACTCTCATTTATATTATATCCCAATAATTATATAGCTCTCATTGTTTTCTTCTGTTATCATGAAAATAAAATGTTATCAAAAGACGCTTCTCAATAATGAAATCTTGCTCAGATAATTCTAAGGCACAATTCTTTATTCCGATGTTTATGAAGTATACAAAGATATTAAAACGTAGATGTTTATTGCACAGTTCCGGCATGCAATGTATTATTGAAGAACACTGCGTGATAGGGGGGGGGGGGGGGGAGCAAGCCTGAAAAAAGTAACAACAACAGCAACAAAAGATATACATCATGTCTTTCTAAAATCCGACAAGCATAATAATAATGATAAAAATATTAATACTAATACTAATACTAGGCCTACTAATGAAATAATGACAGGTATTGTAATGATATAATCATAATAACAATGAAAACGATAATAATAATACATGTACAATGTGCTGGGGGTTGGTGGGGGGGGGGGACAATTTTTAAGGTATGTTAGGGGTACTTTGTTTAGCGTTTACTTATAGAACACTATTTTCCCCTGTTGTTGTTGTTAATGTTTATTTTTGTTTTTTGTTTGTTTTATCTGATCTATGACTCAACAACCCCCATGAAAATAACAGCCGTGTTAAGAGGGCGCTATATAGCTATATAGCTCTGCTACCAGATATGAATGGATTGGGACACTGAAGTTATACAAAATAGAGCCATTTGAAATGTTATGATTTCTGTGAATAATAAGGAATCAAATGATAAGATAAAATTATTTTTGGACACATTGGTCATGAAACGTTTGAAGGAAGGGAATTGTAATATGATTATTATTTTATCAATCAAACGACAATCCTTTATAGTAATGGTAATAATAGTGCTCAAGTGTCAGGCTCCTTATTAGGGCATTGTAATATACTACATACGGTACAAGAAGAGAAAAAGAATAACGAAATGAGAGTACTCCTGCATTATCAAGAACATTTTTAGGCAGATAAAGATTACAATGATTTATAAATGTTAAAATATCATCAATAGTCCTTAATCTGGTATGAGCTTTTGGGTACCAAGGATTTTTTAACGAGCTTTTGGGTATCAATTAGTAAGCAATAAAGAAAATAAGAACTTGCAGTCTGGAACAACCAAACGCAAAAAACACGAAAAGAATGTGCAATGGTATCAATAGTTACAGGAATAAGGAGGAAACAAACAATATCCCCATAAGAACAGGAGATTTACCCCTGGTAATTTTTGCAAGGTGGGAACCCGAGTTTGAGAAGGATGCATGGTGAAGGTTGAAAAGATTTGTACTTTCATTTTGAAGTGGAAGAATATCGGGGCATACAAGTAGACCGACAAAATTCTCGAAACCCTAAGAAAAGTGTTCAAAAAGCCCACGAGACCAACATTTCGGTCTCATAAGGTATCGGTCGAGGGTCATCCCAATAGACCGACAGCCCACGAGACTGGCAAACCAGATAAAGAAATGCATTTTCTGATTGAATGAGGGAAGATAGAAAAATATCGGTCTCGTAGATCGTCGGTATGGTGAACCCTCAGAGGGCACGCTAGACCGGAAATGTCGGTCTCGTAGACTGTAGCCAAAACATTATGAAAGCAATGAAACAGAATTGCTCATGATACTCTCTATTAGAAGTACCGGGGTATACAAGTCATGTTTATTAAAGAGTAATTCACCCTTTGGACCTAGAAATTGCCACATTTCAATGTTGTCCTTCGGGTTCAGATTTAACTCTACAACTTGAAATAGTTTCTAGACAGCTTGTTTCTAAATACGCTTCTACCACTAATACTAAACTGAGCACTATAACTTTAACTTTCTTCATCATTATTGTCAATTAATGTTGAAATCAACTCATATCATATCGCCATCGTATGCGCTTAATTGCCTAAGTACCGTCCTCTCTTTCACGACAAAATTTCAATTTGGATGACAAGAAAAAATATGAAAACTTTGAAATTGTAGATCTAAGCCTAAAGTCCTAGAGCTCGTCGTGTTTTGGTCCTGAGAACTCTTTCCAAGTAAGGGACCCGTCCTTATCACGATCGTCTTTATCAATGACTTCTTTAGCTAGTTTACTGACGAGGGGTCCGTCTGGTCCAAAGGTACCGTCCTTAATCAGGTATTCCTTGATCTGTTAAATTAAAAAGACATATTATTATTTTTTTTTTACTGCCAGAAATACGGTATACACTGTGTCATGTGATAACGTCACATTTCATGAGCTGACATGAAATATAAGTCTACAAATTGATCGGGGGAGGGAAGGGAGTATGTTTCTGGACAGCCCTTCTTGCTGGAAGCCCATGTTTTGATATTTTACCTCGCCCTTGGGGGGGGGGGGAATTAACCATAATTATAATGGATACGTAATTGTTCTGGCCAGGTTTTAATATTAAAGCTTTCCAAATGTCATATAGCACTGAATAATGTAAAATGTGGGTTCATTTTGATTGCCCTGCCAGGGGCTGATGGACTCAAATGTAATAATAGTTCTTCCGTGTGATGGTTGCCTCTGAGTTTATCAGTCATTTCTGACATAGCATCCTACCTCGCCATGAGAGAGTAAGTTATCCTTGTCGGTATCATAAACCTTGAACATGTTTGGTAATCCCTTGATGTAGTTTGGACCCATCTGCATCAACTCGACCTCGAAGATTAATTTCTGTCCACGCGGGATCTTTCCGTCTAAACAAACAACAAAAAAACAATAAAACAGAAAATAAGAATTAGACAAACATGACTAGGTAGCATAACAAAAATTATTTAATATGGTTAAATAAGAAAAGAGGCAAGGGATAATATTTTATTTACAACTGGAGAATGTCGTGTGAGAAAATGGTAGAGAACGTTCATTTATATGTTTATTTATTTTTCTCTTTATCTATTAATTTATTCATTCATTCATTCACTCACTCATTTGTTTACTATTCATTAATTCATTTATTTAATCATACATTTAATCATTCAATCATTTATTCCTTCCTTCCTTCCTTCCTTCGTTCATTCATAAATTATGTAATAATGATCATGATCAATGTATTACCGTTGGGATCGAAAAGGTGTCGTCCGTTTTTTACCATCTCGGGTTCGACGACGACTTTCCTGATCTCATCTTTACACATTCCCAAGATCCCGAGTTCGAGACCCTTGATGCTCTCACCGACACCCATCGGGAACGATTGCCACTCATCTTTCACGTTGTCTTCACGACTGAAATAATATGGAAATCAGGAGAAAGGATATTGTCAACAATTATTTCTCATCAACTTCAGGCAGGCACTTGTCACTTAAATCTTTATGAAAGATTTTATTTAAAACTGCAATTCAAAAATTAAAAATCGTCTGTTCTAAACGTCACATTCTCTCTCTCTCTCTCTCTCTCTCTCTCTCTCTCTCTCTCTCGTGTTCGTTTGCTCTTTCTTTCTTTCTTTATCTTCTTTCTTTCTTTTTTTCTTCCTTTCTTTATTTTCGCACTCTCTCTCTCTCTCTCTCTCTCTCTCTCACTTTATTTATCTTTTCTCTTTCTCTCTTCTTTGATAATGTACATGATTATATGAGTCATTTTATTGATTTTTTCCCAGAAATTAGAAATAACTTCGAATGTTATTTAATCAAGTTCAAAGTTCTGTATGTGGAAATCCCGATGTCGCCCTCATAAAGAGTCACGTTACCCATAATTACCAGGTATATGCATATCCTTTTATTCATGGCTGTGACCCATTGCGGTATTGGTATACATAATATAAACGTCTTCCTGCAATCGATCTTTGCCCTATCAGAGAATCAACATTTGCCCTTACCTTGTGCTCAACACAGTATTATAATATATCGCATACAATAGCACAACAATCACACGTTATATGCCTATACTATACGGACTAAATGTATTCCCATGACTTTGATTCAGGAAGTGTTTAGATTTCTAGATTATAAGCTATAGATTTCAAGGCTCGCATTATACCGTACATTGTAATTTTTAGTTTCGAGTGTTGAAATATATTAGATTGTAATGTATAATTCGTTTGGTTTCTATCGAGTATTTACATAATAATAATAATAGTGTGCACTTCTGAGAGCAGTGATACAGGCTTTATTTTCAGCAATAATAATTTTGAGGTGAATGTATGAATGATGTAGATTTGAATGCCTTACCTGTCATAAAAGATGGATCCGTCAGAGGCAAGTTTTCCAACAAAGTGAATACCAGCCGTGTCATCGTCTGTCAATCTCTTCCTACACTTCGTTACAGCCTTGATATTCTCCCATTCGATCTCAGGAGGAGGCATCTGATCACGACGTCCTTCAAACTCTTCAACTTCTTCCTCATCTTCAACTTCAATCTCTACATCGTCGTCACTGAGCACGGGGATCGCCAGGCATATCAGCATGAAGCCAGCAACAAGCAGCTTTCTATACTCCATATTGCAGTATTGTGTTATTAAAATAAAATGAACAATGGTGCGCTTAGCTGCAGTATTTCAGACTTGAGTGAGAATCGAGATATTGGCGTATAATAAGCGATGTTTTGGGTAGAGGTGCTCTGGCAATCGTGACAATCTGGGTTCTTGAGCTCGTATCAAACATTCGACTCGAGAAAGACTTCTTTTTTATCGAATAAAATGCCACGTGTATTACGGATGAATCTAAGGACAAAGCGACGTGGCTTTGTACTGCTAATGATGAATATAATTCAGTTATAAAGAAGAAGATAAACACAAGATAAGAGAACAGGTCTTTGTTTATTCAACCTGCAAATATTCCCACGACAAGTATAAAGCTGTGTGCAATGTTAGACTCGCACAAAGCCATTGTCTATATCTCATGAACAATTAATATTCAACCAGACTAAAATTAGATCATATTCAATTTGCGAGACACGTTAGCGTAAGTGAGGGAAGTTGTTGTCACTAGTATACACCTTTTTATGTCATGAACATAGTTGTTGTATATAGCTTTTACACAGAGCTGTTATTTTTTACCAAGTATTTATTATTTTCTTTTACCAACAAAATAACAATACAATTCACATTTTATATAAACTTGCAAATATTTCATACATTGTCATAATACATGATTCATAATACTCTATTCGAGAAAAAGTACACGAATCAAGTCTATTATATTGGTCATATAAGTAACATATAGATCGAGCGAGAAAAATTAATAAGTTAAAGAAAAAAAAGAAGAGGAGAACTAAAGAACAGAATGAAAATAATATAAGAGAGAGGGATGCCATACTAAAGTTCGATTTAAAATATTAATTTTAGCGAATTGAAACCTTCAAATGGTATCAGCATCCATTGAAATGTTGAGTTTCGGGTTGTGGTGGAGAACACTTAGGTTCAGTTAAACTGAAATTATATTAGGAATTATTTTGGGGGCGGTAAGTGTAAATGGAATGGGCAGTGGATACCTTGTTTTTTCTAACTTGATTTTGTTTGATGGATAATCGTTAATGGCCGATCAACATGGTAACAGATATAGCTACCGAAATAGTCGTTATATACCATACTGTGAAATTTGGTAACAGTCTGTCGTAAGAAACCACTGAACGTCTATATTATGTCTAACCTCGCGAACATCCCATTATTTATTTTACACATTTCAATAGGTTGGGGTGAACGTAATATGATTTATTACGATAGTTTCGTGTAATGGCCGGTCCCATATTCCTTTTGCTTCCAACTTGTGACAGGCCCGTAGCCACGGGGGGGGGGGGGGGGGGCACTGGGGGCACGTGCCCCCAAACATTTCCAAGATCGGTTGAACTTGTTTAGACCCCTCCCCAGGACGTCGATCAATTACATGTATGCCCCCCCCCCCCCCCCCAAAAAAAAAAAAAAATAAATAAAAAAAATCAAACTCTGACTACGGCCCTGATTTGTGAAGAGTAAGTGTACGAGAGTAAAGAAACCTTATTGGGCTTTTCAGGTCTTGAGTTAAAAGGGCAAAAATTGTGCGACCGTTTGAGCCACAGCCATCTATAATATTATAGATGGTATATGTGTATAGATATCTCTGCTTTGAGCAGGTATATTATTATAGCGCCACCACGAATAATTATTATCATGATTGTGAGTCACTCGGATCTGAGTCCCATCTCCAGTTAATGCACAGTGGCCTATAGCTATCCCCGCCCCCTCCCCATCATCGAAACGGCAAAAGGGGGAAAAGAGTGATAGAAAGAAAAGAGAGAGAGAGAGAGAGAGAGAGAGAAGGAGAGAGAGAGACAAAGAGAGAGAGAGAGAGAGACAAAAAGAGTAAGAGAGAGAGAGAGAGAGGGAGAGAGAGAGAGAGAGAGAGAGAGAGACGGCCTTGTTTTTTTTATTCATATTTCTTTTGGTTATTTTGTGATCTGAAGTTGAGGAAAATTCTTCATGTTTGAATTTTAATAAATAAATTGAGATTGAATTGCATTGAGTTTGAACTCCCCCCCCCCCCCCTCCTGCTGACATTATAATAAAAGGTCAATGGTTTGACTTTGACCCACGCCACTTTGACATTGGTCATTTAAATGTTTTCTCTTGCTAAATAGTGACCCCCTCTTTTTATTTCTCTCTCTTTTTAAGCAAGTTCATCCGGCCCTCTTTTAGTATCAGTGACAGTGAAACGGAATGAAATGTGATTTTGCTTCCACTATAATATGGTAACTTTTGGTAACGTCAACATGGTTAAGTTGTAGCAAAATGTTCACTTTGGGTGCTGATGAGAGTATAAGCCTATAAAAAGGTAAGCGGGAATGATTTTAGCTCACAACGCTTGTTCTCACATCAGGTTTTCAGTTCAACATCTCGACACCCCGGTGTTATTTTGTGTATTGACCCCCCCCCCCTCCACACTCAGTGTGTTTAGTGTACGGGTATGCATGTTCCTTCTTTTTGAAACTCACCCCCCCCCCCCCACCCCCTATCTCCGGTGTGAAAGTCAATACGGGCCGGACTTTGGCGCGCGAAACGTACTACCCCTTATCTACCGGAGATTTTGGGAACACGCATGCGGTCCCTCCGACCCCAGAGTGGGGGGGGGGGGGGTAATTCACTCTAAATGTCCTTGGTTTACTCTAGGCTAATCATAAATACATAAAAAGAGACCACATCGCTGCCTGAAAATAAAGTGACGGTGGCCAAATATTGATGAATTCTCCGGGGAAGGGATCTGAGGGGGCCGAGGGGGGGGGGGGGGGGGGGGGGGGGGGGGGGTCCGGCATCGGCTAGACACCCCCTGTGCTAGGCGTTGCAATGTTAATCATGGAATCTTTTACATTTTAGGAATATAGGCCTATAATAATCATTTTTGTTGTAGATTTGGGGGGGGGGGGGGGGCGGGGGGATAGGCTTATCGATGTCCAACTTATATAAAACCGGCATTTGTCAGATTGATGAAATTATGTGCTACTATAAAATGGACATTTCCATACTGTTCAAGCGTATTTCCTCGTTCGATCGATTTGCTCCCTAGCTTGCATATAATAATAGATCAAGAGGGTGTAGGTAGAATTCATCGACTGCATAAAAAATGTAAATCTGCTTGTTCGAGTGATGCCCAGGTGGGGTTTGACCCCGGCCCCGGCACTCCGGGGTCGGAATGACCGCATGCGTGTTACCACAATGTCCGGTAAAGAGATACTTTTTTGTGCGACAAAGTCCGGCCCGAGAATTGTAAAAAAGGGGGTGTTTTTTTTCTTCTTTTCTCTCATCTCTTTGGACTCATGAGAAATTATTCTGAATTTAGGGGGGTACATTGAGCATTTTTCCGAATTTAGGGGGGTCTCCAAGGCAGGAAAAGCCCGCGAAATTAAAGCCCGCGAAAGGGAGGTTCGGAAATGTTGACAGTCCTCAGATAGGGGGTGCTTTCAAAAAGAGGGAACAAGCAGGGATATCCCTGGAACAAGCATACGCGTACCCTAAATAACACTGAGGGGGGGGGGGGGGCGGGGTATGACATGATACACCTTTCCCCGATAGGTCTCTAATTCCGTCAGTCCTTCAAATGAAACCTTCATTAATTTTCACGTTTGGCATTTTTACATGAATTTGACCATGCAAAAATATCAGTTTTTGATTTAAAAAGTAATTTATTAAGGTATCTTAGGTATAGACAGTATACAGTTTCGAACGTTACTGGCCAAAATCTACCACAGACCAAGTAAAGAAGAAATGAAAAACAACTTTATTTTAGTCTATGTAAATATAATGTAAAAAATATGCTAGCATTTCTTTTTGTTTGGGGAGGGGCATATTGGCGAAATCTTTTGGGCAATCGGTCCGTACCCATGCCCACTTCTCTAATATGTATATAACCACAGGTCCACAGTAGGTAAAAGTGCATTGTGTATGACAATTATTTTCGAAGAGATAAAAATCATCTTCTCTTCGATCATTTATAATTTTGAGAGTTCTTCCCACCATGCAACGCGTTGGATCCCGCGGCAAAGTGTGATTGTTGGCTGCTATGCTAAACGGATCTTTGCCCGGCTGGAATTCGGGTTAGAAATCTACGATTATGGCTCCCCACAAACATTCTCGGGCAAGTCCGAGGAAGCCCAAGCTGGAGCAACTAAAAGCAGATCATGAACTCTTCTTACAAGCATTTGAAAGTAAGTTTATTTCATTATTTTAGAGTAGTTTTGTGCGACCATCGCCGATGAGATTGAATGATCGCGAGCAAGTTGCACCTGCATGTGGTATGGTAGAGTCGGTGGGATGAGTTCGTGCATGTGTGTGGCTTTGTTATTGAAAATGAATGGCGGATAAAGAACACGCTTTGCTATGTGTTGGACTATCAATGGTTTAGAGCGTCACACAACCTAGTAAATCGGGTCTTGTCTTTTGGAAGATCGCCTGTTTAATGTTTTGGAAAGTCACTGTTATTTGTGAAGTTTGCATTATTGATATTTGAAAATTGTAAATGGCCAGATGTGAATAGTTCAAGACAATAAAGTGTAATTATTTAATCTTGTCTCTTGTCCTGAACTGATTAATGCCCCCCAATTGAAATTTGAAAAATAGCAACGCTTGTCTCTCATTCATGTCTATGATTGTCAATTGATCAGGAAAAAAAAAGAAGTTTTGATAGATTTATTAACAACAACAATGGCAGAAAGGTTTAGTCTTTAAGAAGAAGTCCATCCTGATTTAAGTTGGTTTTAATATGATTATGAGCAGAAAAAATATAGAAACAGTTCAGACATCAGTGACTCGGTGACTGACCAACATGACCAAGTCTAATTTTAAGCAAACTGAGTAGGCCCCTAAGATTAAAATTAAACTAAAAAAAAAAAATATGAATTTTTGAAGTTGCAATACTGCTAATAGAGCCTGGGGTTTTTACAAAATATTTTTTTGAATTACATGATGTGTATTTTGAGATCCTCTCCCAACATGCTATGATGAAGAGTTCTTAATTTTTTTCTTCAAATAATACTTTTTAATCAATAAGTTGATCTTCTCTAAATTATTGCACATAGATTCTAGAGATGTTTTCTCCGTAACCCCCACATGAACCAAATCTACATGTAGGTCTTCTCCTTATCAGTAAGTAAGAAAATAGAAATTCATGAAATATTCAGTACCAGTAAGGAGCAAATAGGAGAGGACATGTGAAGATGCCAATTTTGTTTCATGGATTAATAACAACAAAAATTCTACATGTATTTCAAATTGGATTCTGCTCTAACTCTCATTTTACTGTTCCTCTCATTCTTAAAGATCATGGTGAAGTGGTGGTCTTCCCCTGAAGATTTATTTATTAGTACTGTACATGTACAGGTGTAGTCATGTTTTTTTCCTTCAAATCTACTCTGTACAGATATGTATTCTATCTCTAGTTCTTCTACTGTTAACTTTTTGGAATCTTGTTTATTTGGAGAAAAAGGGAGATTGGAAGAGGAAATTGACCCTCATAAATATGATTATGATTTCTTTAGTTTTAATAAAATGACATACAGATCAATGACAATGACAATGAATATGAGAAAATGTGAAAATCTCATCAAAAAGAGGGGGAAAAAAGCTATGAAACTCCACTACCATGAACAGGCTCTTCCATTTGAATTGTGAGTTACCTCATTTGCCTTGTTTTGATAAAATCATAGGTTTCCACTTTCTAAAGTGTAAAGTGTATATTCTGTTTTCTCTGAAGAAGAAGAAAAAATGTTAAATTGTCCATGTGCCCTATATTATGCACATTATACAATTTTTGATGGCAGGAGCCAATTTCCATTTGGTCAATTAGAAGTTTAAAATTTAATGTTTTTTCCTTGGATTTTCCTCAAAAGAATTTCACTAATCCATTCCTCAAAGTGTTCAACTTTTGAACCAACTTTAATATCAGGGTGGACTTTTTCTAAAGTTGTGTTGTTTACAACATGTGTACCTGTAACCATTTAAAAAATTATATATATGATTTCTTTTGTGATTTCACTAAAGATTGTTTTAAATTGTAGAACCCATTTTTATGAACATGAAAGTGGAATTGAGACTTATCATGTACATGTAGGCTTATGTGCAGTGTATTTATTAATTTTGGAAAGTGAAATAGATTTTCATTCACTTTTTTTCCAACTACATTGTAGCAAAATAGTTGTGTAGAGGTTTTACACCTACAGTACATTGTACATGTAAAAATGTTTCCCAATTGTTTTAATAGCAACTTTGGTGTTCCTTTAGACGTACATGTACATTGTATGTTCATGAAGCTTATAATTTTGTTGTCCAGAACTTTGATGTATTTTTGGGGACTTGAATGAACTACCAATGGTTCAAATTTCTACAAAAAAGTTTAGTTACAAAAGCACTGACTGGATTTTCTTAATTTCTATGTCTTTTGGACTGACATGATTCAAACTTGGGACTTGGTAAATGTACTTGTGCAGTACATGAACATGGATGTATTTTCACATGTATTGACTGAAAGAAGATCATCTTTTATTTGATAAATTACACATAGTAAGAGATCATTACTTTAGTTAGATGGAGGTTACTCATTAGTTTTATTTTGTTCTTGTTGTTGTTGTAATCTGATAAATAACTTACAGAGTTAAACAGTTTCATAAATATCTGCAGTTATTAAACTGCTAAAGTAATAAACTTGTAATCCCTTTGGCAGCTTACTCAGAAAGCTATACTGGGATGGTAGGTGAAGCGAGTAACTACAAGGAGTGCAATGAGACATGGTGTGTAGACAAAGCACTTGTCTATTTACAGTAAAATATGCTATTAAATCTAGTGCAAGTAAAAACCAAAAAATATTAATGTGATAGTCAAAGGTAGGGGTAATTTTGTGACCCCCCCCCCCCCCCCATGTATATAAATTTCTATTTGGTGAAAGTATGTACATATAATAGGACTACTGCACATGTGCATTAAAAAAAAGAAAATGATTTAAGGAGTAACAAGGGATCTGGTTTCTGTGTCCTAATAAAACCATTTTCGAATGTTCAGCAGAATCAAATCATCAATAATTTTACTGTCCATGGAAATTGTACTATTGTACCTAGAGCTCACTTTTGCCATTTCCCTCTAATCCAGATGTTTTTTTAATTGTATTTTAGTAGATTTCAAGAAGACTTTCTGACAAGTTAAAGTAGGCTATGTGTACACCTGTACATGTATCCACGTTTTGTTACAGTAAATATTATCCACCGTGGAGAGATTAAAACCAAAAGTATCTACCAGTAAGCAGAAAAGGCTTTCCTCTTTGTTTGGCTCAACTTTGAGAAAAACACCTACTGTACAATACATGTACTACCTAAATTTGTGAACCAAATATACAGTGTACTGCAGGTCAAGTTGTGAAATAATGTACTTGCACAGTGTAAGCATTATAATAAATTAAGATGGAAAGTGTTTAAATTTTAGTTGAAAATGAGAAGAAGAAAAAACAAAGAAGAAAAAAAAGAAGAAAAAAAACTTGTTTGATGTCCCATCATTGGTGACTTACTCAAATATGATAATCACCAAATTACCAGAATTCCCTTTCTCCCTTATTATGCCATATATTCCTGAATCATTTCATTTATCTTTTTCTTTTATCATTTTCTCTGATCTTTCTAGTCTCTAGTCTAATTTCTGATTTCTCAGAAGGGTTCTTCTTGAATGATTAATGGCAATAAGGCAATGCAATATTAAAGATCTGGCAGTACAGTATATTTGTGGCTTTGAGTAAAAACTTATACATGTATAGTGGAGTGAGATTGTTAAGTAATTTTACTACATGTAGGTACGAGGATGCAATATTATGCTTGGAAATCACTTTACAATCTCACTCCACTATTTAAGTCTTTACTCAGAGCCACAAATACATGTGGGTTCCTTATGTAGGTGGGACCCTCAAGTGGGTCCCTAATTTATGGAATTACGGACATGTACAGTAGATGATTGAAATCAAGAATTGTTACTTAAATGTTCATGTACCGGCACAGAATTCTTTAGTCAAATATTTAAAAATCCCAATAGAAAACTAGCAGTATTAGATCTGAAGCTCTATCAATTGCATCATGCATGCCAAAAAAGTTCTCAAGATACAATAATGCTCTCATTTTACTTCTACATGTAGTAATTTATTACTTTATTGCAAGAGCTTGACAAAAAATGAATGAGAAGAATATCTGTGAAATTTCTTTTCAGAATTCAGACCTGATTTTATAAATGTCCCTAATTATCAAGAAGGAAAAAAAATCAAAAATTCCTAATCCCAAGAATTTCTCATAATTTCTGAATCATGTTACCTTTCAAGAGCTGCATTTACACTCGACTTGTTAACACTGCAAGCAAAAATCATAGATTTTTCTCACATTCCGGTGTTTCATTGGAAGTTGCCATCAACTATTGGTTAACACAACAAAAAACCAATATTGAAAAACCCATTCCGGAGTGTTTTATTTTTCGATGCTGGAATAAATTGTACAGATTTTTGCAGTTCAAATGCTTGCTCTCAAAACATTGGTGAATGAATCCTGATTTTAGTCAAGTGACTCTCCTTGTCTCCATGCGATCCCATGTATAATGTACCACTAAGTACTCACCACAATTTCAGAATGTGCAGACACCAACAACAATTTTATTATGGGTTTTCCAGTAAGTGTAAATGGCAATTCAAAAACATTTGTTTTTTTTTTTCAAAATTGTTTTTGGGGCTGGATTAATGGCCTAATCAGATCAATTCCTCATGGTTTTTTTATTCTGGTTACTTTGTCAATTATGGTACTAATTGTCATTACAGTACAGTAACTGTAAAAAAAAGAATAGACAAAATTCAGTGTTACAATTATGTCAATTTATCCACTCCCAAGCTTGCAGAGAAGGTTGAGTTCTGGGGAGACATGAACAATATTTTGTGAGCATTTTCATTGTTAATGTAAAGTGGGCAGGTCCAAGCTATTTGGATTGTGACGTACGGGACATTCAGAGACTTAAAACAAGAAATAACAATGGATGAAATTATTTATATGGCTATCTTTTGGTTTGAGTCTGTAGCTATTATGGGCTAGTTCATTTGTGGAAAGTTTTAGTTCTGACCAATTCATAAATTAATTTTTAATGCAATTAATGTGCTGCGTGACGTACGGGACCAGAGAATTTCTGACTTTTTCGAAAA